GAGACGCGGGGAGCCGCCTCCGCTCGCGGCACCGGCCCGGAGCGGCTCCCGCTGCCCCGTGTCCAACCTGACCACAGCCCGGGGTGACTCCGGCCACATCGGACCGTCCCGAGGGCAGCGCGGGGGCCTCCAGCTCGGAGGTTTTGCTCCTTCTCCCCAGGAAGGCACCGGCGGCAGCATCCCTAGGCCACGGCCGCCCTCCCTGTATCATTGCTCAAGTGATTAAATATAAAGAGACCCAAGTGCGCCTCGTATTTCAGCGTTAATGTCGCTGCCAAATATTATCACACTGACGACGGTTGTAAAGCAGAAGCAATCAATAATGTTGTAGCTCGGGTTGCTCTGGGAGAGGCTCCACGCGGAGCTGCTGGAACACGGTACCCCAGGCGGTTGCGCCTGTCTGCGCTTGGGATCTCCTAAGGGAGCAGGTTTGTAGCTTCCCGGTTTTCCTTGTGCTTTGCCACCAATTTGGCACCCAGTTAACGCACTTTTCTTTCCGGTTCTGCTTTTTAATGAGCGCCGCCAGCAGCATGTCTGCTAATGACGTCCATGGGACGAGCTAATGACATAGAGAAGGCTGAGTTTTTAGCAGCTGGTTCACATGTTCCTGTAACTGGGAGGAAAGCTGCTTCCCTAGGGAGGGAAAGAAAAAAATCCCGTTATTTGCAGAATCCAGGTGAACGTGACGATGTCACCCGCTGAGCGCAAGCCCCGGTTCCCTGGGCCTGTGTAGAGGCCGCTCCTTGCATGTTTTTTTTAACAAACACAGTAAAAATCCAACTGCTTTTCTGTCCATTGCATAAGAAAACTGAGCTCACGTCTCTCGATGAATTACTCACACTTGGCTCCATCCTCACTAATACTAAGAGGCTGCTGTCGTGGGAAACGTCCTTCCTGTTTTCTTTTCCAGACCTTTTCTCCAGACAGCTCTGCTCAAACCACCCACCAAAGGATGAGCGTTTTTGTGTGTTTTCCTTTCCTTTGCCCAGTTAGCCCAGGCACATGGGAAGAGGAGGAGGGTGAGGAAGGCCCAGCACGTGGGTCACGCCAAAACCTCCATGAAGGCAGCAAGGCC